TACACAGTGGTCCCCAGAGTCCTTTCCCAGTGGTTTAGTTTCTTACTAATCTACACAGTGGTCCCCAGAGTCCTTTCCCAGTGGTTTAGTTTCTTGTTGCTATTGCTAGGTACCATCGATTCGGTCTGACTCATAGCAACCCTGTGCACAACGGAATGAAGCACCACCGGGTCCCACACCATCCTCACACTTTTTGTTACAATTGTGTCCATTGCTGCTGCCACTGTGTCAATCGATAAGATTGGGGGTCTTCCTCTTTTTCTATGACCCTCCACTTCACCAAGCATAATGCCCTTCTCCAGGCACTGGCCCCTCCTGAGAATACGTCTAAAGTATGAAAGACCAAGTCTTGCCATGTTTGCCATGCTTTCTCAGGAGTATTCTGGCTGTACTTTTTGAAAAACAGACTTGTTTGTTCTCCTGGCAGTCCATGACACTTTCAATATTCTTCTTCAACATCATAATTCAAATGCATCTCTTCTTCTCCAGTCTTCTGTATTCACTGTCCAACGTTCACATGCGTATGAGGCTACTGAGAATACCATGGCTTGAGCCAGGTGCATCTTAGTCCTCAAACTGACATCAATATTCTTGGACAAATTAAAAAGTCTCCTGCAGAGTTACCTAATTCAACAGGTCATCTGATTTTTTGACTACTGCCTCCATGAGTGTTGATTGTGGATCCAAGCAAAATGAAGACTTTGACAACTTCAATCTTTTCTCCATTCAGCATGATGTTATTTATTGATCCAGTTGTGAGGATTTATGTTTTCTTTACAGTGAGGTGGAATCCATACTGAAGGCTGTGGTCTTTGATCTTCATCGCTAAGTATTTTAAGTCCTCTTCACTTTCAGCAAGCAAGGTTACATCATCTGTATATCACAGGTTGCTAATGAGTCTTCCTCCAATCTTAATGCCATGCTCTTCTTCATATAGTCCAATTTCTCTGACTATTTGCTCAGCATACAGATTGAGTACATGTGAAAGAACACAGTCCTGAGGCACACCTTTTCTGATTTTAAGCCATTCAGTGTCTAACAATTGTCTCTTTGTCTATGTACAGGTTCCTCATTAGCACAATAAAATGTTCTGGAATATCCTTTCTACACAATATTATCCATAGCCTATCATGATCCACATAGTTGAAAGCATCTGCATAGACAATAAAGCAGAAGAAAATATCTTTCTGGCATTCTCTGTTTTAAGTCAAGCACCATCTGATGGTAGCAATGGTATCTCTAGTTCCACATCCTCTTCTGAATCTGGCTTGAGTTTCTGGCAGCTCCCTTTTGACGTAGTGTTGCAGCTGCCTTTTACCTATCTGCAGAAAAACTTTCCTTGCTTATGATATTAGTGATATTGTACGATGGTTTACACATTTTTTTGGAATGAGGACACATGTGCATCTCCTCCACCAGGATGGTTGGTAGCTGCCTTCCAAATTTCCTGCCACAGATGAGTGACTCACTGCAATGCTCCACCAGTTTGCTGACAGATTTCTATTTGAATTCCATCAATTCCTGGAGCCTTGTTTATTGCCAATGGCTTCAAGGCAGTTTGGACTTCTTTCTTCAGTACCATTGGTCTTGATCATGGTTGAGCATCGACCATTCCATTTTGGTACAGTGACTCGAATATTCCTTCCATCTTCTTTTGAATGCTTTCTGCATCATTCAATGGAGTTCTTCAACATTGCAAGTTGAGGCCAGAATTTCTTCAGCTCTTTCAGTCTGAAAAATGCTGAGCATGCCCTTCCTTCTTAACTGTCTAACTCCAGGCCCTAGTTCCCAACTACAGACCCTTCTGCATCATTCAATACTTTTCCCATTGCTGCTGTTGTTGTTACGAGTCATAAGGTCAGTTCCAGCTCATAGTGACCCTGTGCAGGGCTTCCGAGGAGTGGACTGGTGGGTTTGAAATGTCACCATTGCAGTTAATAGTCCAGTGCCTAGCCTACAGCGTCACACCAGGACTCCTTTTTAAATTTTTTCTCCATAGAATCCTTCAGTATTTCAAATCAAGGCTTGGATGTTTTCTTCCCTTCTTTCAGCTGGAGAAATGCTGAGCAGGTTCTTCCCTTTTGGTTTTCTAACTCCAGGGCTTTGCACACATAATGCTTGACTTTATCTTCTTGAGCTGCCATTTGGAATTTTCTGTTCAGCTCTTTGACCTCATCTCTATGCTCAGGAATATGTTACAGTCTCTTCTGACACCACTTTGGGTCTTTTCCTTATTTGTTGCCTTATAATGACCTTCTGCTTTCTTCCTGTGTGATGTACTTGATGTCATCCCACAGCTCTTCTGGTCTTCGGTCATTAGTGTCTAATGCATCAAATCCGTTCTTGTTCTGGTCTCTAAATGCAGGTGGGATATGTTCAAGTTTCTATTTTGGTTCTCATGGACTTGTTTTAATTTATGTCAGCTTCAGCCTGAACTTGAATATGAGCAGTTGACTCTGTTCCAAAGTCTGCCCCTGGTTTTATTTTGACGGATGATATTGGAGCTTTCCCGCTGTCTCTTCCCACAAATGTAGTCCATTTGATTCCTGTGCATTCTATCTGGTAAGATCCATGCATTTTATGATGTTTGCAACTAACAGGTCACTTTGTTGTTGTTAGGTGCCATAGAGTCAGTACTGACTCATGCACAGCAAAACGAAACAGTGCCCGATCTTGGGCTAACCTCACTACTGTTGCCACACTTGAGTCCATCGATGCTGCCACTTGGTCAAGCCATCTCATTGGGGGTCTTCCTCATTTTCTCTGACCCTCCACCTTACCAAACATGATATCCTTCTCTAGTAACTGGTCCCTCTTGACAATAAGTCCGAAGTATGACAGACAAATTTTGGCCATCTTGGCCTCCAAGGAGCACTCTGGCTGCACTTCTTCCAACACAGAATCTGTTGGTTCTTTTGGCAGCCCATGGAACTTTCAACAGTCTCTTCTCACACCATAACTCAAAGGCAAAAATTCTTCTATAGTCTGCCTTATTCACTGTGCAGCTTTCACATGTATATAGGTCACTAGTCATGCAAAATTCTGTCTTGTGATCTCAAGCACCATTTCTATCACTAAGGCCATATTTCCAAATACTGACCCTTCTTTGTTTCTAACCCTTGCATAATAATCACCAGTAACCATCAATACATCTTAATTGCATGTTGGATCACATTAATGTCAGACTGAAAAAGTTGTTATAATTCTTCAATTTCATCATCACTGGCTTTAGTGGTTGGTGTACAAATTTGAATAACTGGTATTAACTGGCCTTCATTGTAAGCGAACGGATATTATCCTATCACAGACAGCATAGTACTTCAAGACTGATCTTGAAATGTCCCCTTTCATGATAAATGCTACATCATTTCTCTTCAATTTGTCATTTCCAGCATTGTAAACCACATGATTGTAAAATTCAAAATGGCCAATGCCAATCCATTTCAGCTCACCAATGCCTAGAATATAGATCTTTATATGTTTTCCATTTCGTTTTTGACAACTTCAAAGTTTCCAAGATTCACACTTCATATATTTCATGTTTCAATTATTAATGGATATTTGCAACTGTTGCTCCTCATTTTCAGTTGTGTCCCACCAGCAAACAAAGGCCTCAGAAGCTTTACTCCATTCGAGTCATCTGGGTCAACTCTACTTTGAGAAGGCAGCTTTTCCCTAGTTATAGTTTGAGTGGTTTCCAAACTGCTAGTCTTCTGGCACCCCATCTGACAATGTTCTGGTGCTCTCCATAATGTTTCCATCTCCCAGCACTATAGCTAACAATATCCCGCTACTACGCATAAGCTTTTTTCAATGGCTAAACATTCAAAAGTAGTTTACCTGTTTCTGACCCTAGTCTGTCTTAATCTGTAAGCTTCACTAAAACCTGTCCACCATGGGTGACCCTGCTGGTATTTAAATTCCAGTATCTCATCAACATACAAGCCACTATAATGTGACAAACTGATTAAGTGGGGGGATTTACATTTATTAACTTGCAAAGCTTTATAGAATCTCTAAAAGTTTCCAGAACACTTTCCAGTTGGTTTATGTTTATTAATTAGCAAAGCTTTATAGATTCTGTACAACAGTATCCAGCATGATGCTTTGAAACTCCAACGTCTTTCATTCATATTCTATAGTAATGAAAATGCATTCTTGAACACAAAGTAAAAATGTCTAATCTTCAGTTGACCACCACAATCCAATCGCAATAACATGCACAAGAACACATTAACTTACAGATGAGGCAATGTCTATCTCATCAATTCAATATAAAAGCTTTTCTATGAAGCTTACTCTTGGGTCTCAGTGTCCTGGTTCATCTGTTTCCACAGATTGTCAATCCCATGATACCATGACAGGTTCCAAGCGACTCTCAGCATGCCTGACACTGGCTCGAGGGCCAGACATTCAGCAGACAGAGGCAAGACGATGGTGTGTGGACTCACAGCATGATGACCACGGACCAGGACGGAGAGATGATACCTGGGAAAACAGGCATGCTGGGCTCGGGGGACTGTTCTCTCCACCTTTCCCTTAAACACAAAACTAAACCCACTTCCATCAAGCCAGTTTCAACTCGTAGCGACCCAGAAGTTAGACAACAGATGTGAACAAAATCAAGATTAAAAGCTGGTGATGTACACAGGATATGGACGAGGAAGGAGGCGAACTGAAATCACTAGCATGATCACGCACATGGCATAAAAATGCTAGACATGATGCAGGGAGAATAAACACTAGAAATGGTGATCAACAACAGGCTTCGATATCTCTCTCTGTAACGATATTTAACCCTTGGAGAAAATCAGAGAAATGAATACTTTACCTTCTAATCACTGAAAGAGGCAGACTGAAGACAGCTGGCGGAGGCTGGCTAGGGGGGCTCCCAGACCTGTTCCATGAGAGAGACAAGGAGAGACCACTGTGCAAACTGCACTCTGCTGACAGGTACAAGTTGTCTCAGTTCCTGGACACACTCAGACCGAGAGATGCGCTGGTGTCCAGCACAGTTTGCCCCTGCCTGGACCAGGGTGAGCTGACAAAGAGTGAAGCAGGCCCTTTAAAGCCAGCCTCTGATCCTTAGCTCCTGCAACAAGACTACGGTGGGGGGGAGTCTCCCCGTGCCGCCCCCACCTGCACGAGCCTGCCCAAGAGCTATGTTCATTAGTTATTGTCACCCTAAACATCTTCCCAGAGTAGTTCACCTTTCATAGGATTAATCAAATACTGGTGAGAAAAGTACACAAAATGAAGGATATATACTAAAAATGTGTGAAAAACAAAACACTGCAGTAATTTAAAAATCTTGTACTTAGTAGCACGGCAGTTCCAAAGGATACCCACAGGACTGTGAACCACAAGGTCTGTGGTTCGAGCCCTCCAGCCTCTCCACAGTAGAAAGATGAGGTTTTCTACTCCCACGAAGATTTAAAAACCTCAGAAACCCTATACAGTGTCATTATGACTCATAACTGATTCAACGGCACTTCACAACAACAACAGTGTTCAAAAAGAGAACTCCAGGGCTACCTTTTCAGCGAGCGGGCCTTTTAATATTGCTTACTCAAATCAAAACATATACCATGTAAGTCTATCATGGAAAGCACAGGCCTTGTAAGAAGTGCCCCTGCCGTACTCTAAGTGCATCAGAAACCTCAGCTAAATAGCTTAACAGCAAAAGACTTTTACAATCCTCACCACACGTCCATTCTGGATACTTCATCAAATAACAGAAGACAGACTACTGCTCCTACTTCAGTCACAACGGCACAATCTTCATGGAATATCAAGGCAACTAAGGGAGACAAAGAAGCATAGCGTTAGCAAACAGCAGGAATTCTAAAAAGATGGACACTTCAAATGAAAACTCTCTAGATTTCCCAAAATTGTTGCCCTGTGATCATCTTTACACCTTTAAGCAAAAAATGTCCCCTCTACTTAAAACTGTAAATATGAGACATGGCCCAACATGACAGGTTAGTCACATACGCCAGGCCATTCCTGAGCAAAGCTACAGAGGACAATCATGGACCCCTACAACAAGGAAGGAGAGAAGGGCATGAAGCAGTTCTAAGAAGGAAAGGAGCAGGGAGGTGTGCTGGCAACCCAGAGCAGGGAGGGAGCCAAGCACCAGCGGTGGTTCTCACCGTTAGGGTGGGTGGCGCACATGGTAGTAGATTCACTTGAGCGTCAGCAGGAAGGAGGGCCCCAATATGACCAATGGAAGAAAGAATCATGAACTAGAAGACACATCCCTTGATACTAATTTGTTTGAAGATCAGAAAAATGAAGAAAGCCTAAGAATTATGTAGAGTACCAGTACGAGGAGTAATTTATGCATAATAGGAATTCCAGGAGAGGAAAAAAAAAAAGTAGAGGGAGAATTTTGAACATATATTCATATTGCCAGGAAGTATCTTAAACATCATGAAAGACATGAAGGTTTCTGCTGGGAGCGGTTGAATGTAGAGAACGGCTTCACTTCTGTCACTTGACACAGTTCCGGCAGATGAAAAGGTCATCGTGCAAGACAGATGGCTCTCAGAAGTCGCTTTCCATCTTCTCTTTAGGGTAATCTTGAATTTCCTTGTAAAAATATATAATATGGCCATATTCACAGCCTTTCACTATGAGTTCTACAAACCTTAGGAAAAACTGGCTTAGCAACAATTGCTTTCAGCTTTGGTGTATTGACTACAAAGAGAATTGTGTAAATTACTCCCTTTCATAGAAAACCTAAGTAACTGCATTTGTGAGGCCACAAAAGCAGATAGCAAATTAGAGTCAAGCTGACCTACCCCTATAGACCACACCACAATCAGTCACCAGCCAGAATTCACAAACCCCTACATACAAGCACCTGCGTAAATAAGCAGAAAATAATGAGTTTAAGTAAAGAGTAGTTTTAACTTGATAATCTACATTTCCTGCAGCAATTAGCCAGGTTGGGCTTTATGCCACATAGCTTCCAAGCAATTTAATGAATACTTTAGAAAAATACATAAGCAGATGCTAGTATACTTTTTATTATGAAAATAATAGTACATTATATAGGATAGAAGGTTGATAATCAGTTAGTGGAAATAATAAGGTAGTGCAAGCATTGATGATTAAGAGAAACTTATGTTACTAAGAAAATGTAA